ACAATAATCCAAGTCCCCAGAATGTAGATTAAGTAATGGTAGGAAAGACACCAGTCATCCAACGAGATCGCAGAATTAAATGCTTTTTCATAAACCCAACTCTCATCTAATGTTTTTTTTCTTTTTAAAAAAGTCTTCTACAATTTAGGCTGAAATGTGTTTTATTTTTCTTGCCTAAGAAATCACTGCCTTATGGAATTATATGTTATATATTTTCACAAATCTCTTCATCCAACACATGCTATGTATGTACACTAAAAGTCTGTGTATTTATATACATCTCTACATAAACCTTGTTGACAAACTCTGCTTAATGTTAGCTCCAATTACAAATGGTAAATTTAATTCAATGTTTTTTTCGCACATCAGATATTTAAGTAGGTTTTTTTTTTAAAAGAAATATCTTAAGATGCCAACTGGAATCTTTTCAGAGCAAAGTGTCATCGCATGGGGAATTTGGGATGCAGCAGTGGATGGGAGACGCTCAAGAGTTTTTAAATGTCTGTTTGGTTTTCATGGGGCTATGTTATAGGGCAGAGGGCCTGTGCCCTTCTGTGAGGTGCCACTGAGCCTTTAGGAGGCAGCTTCGGGCATGTCCCTGTTCCTGACATTCTGCTATTAGAGGGAGGAAGCAGGGCAGTGAGCTCCTGGTCCACATAAGTCATGGACCCCACTCCAGGACCCTCTCTGGTGGTTGAGGGATGCAAAGAAAGTGAAAGCGATCCGACCAGCTGTGGATGAGTGACCCTTCCACAAGATCAAGGTGACTTTGGGCATGGGCCGATACTCCTGGAAGCAGGGGTCTCAGGGGCACAGGACAGGTGATAGGTCATTTGTGGAACAGGAGGCATCTGGGGATGGGGGACTTTAGAGGCAGTCAGCTGGATGCCTGCAGCACAGGTCTTCACAGCAACTCTGGCTTCAGGAGCCTTCTGATTCACACCAAATAAAACAGCAAGAACAAGAAATGAGACGATAAATGAATTATTTCCAGATAAGTCTCTGGCAGAAAAGACTCTTTCCCGGCGTCTTTTTCTGGACCCGCAAAAATTTTCAGAGCAGAAACAGAGTGTATGACATATCCAAGGGGACTTCCAAGTTTGCTCTTGGTAAGGGAGAGTCCAAACATCACAGCAAAGACACTAGAATCGTGTGATCCACTTCCAGACAGAGCTTGACATGATGAAGGCATGGCTGTGTTATCCTTGTCACCTTTATATAACTCTCTGTCTCTTTCCATCACTCCCCTTTAAATACACACTCAGTCCCAGACGCGTGCGTAACCCTCTGGAAGTGGCAGGAATCAAATGCCTCGATGTTCCCAGCATTTGAGCTTTGCCTCATCTGCTCTCAAATACATACACTCCTCTTCCACTTTGAAGGGAAACTGCCCAGCTCCTTCTTGAAGCAGACATTGTCATGACAATAAACATCTTTCAGTCCTGTGACTCCTCATGTGCCCTGGCCTTATGTAATTCACTGGCAAGCGTGATTTCTCTCTGTCTGTTTGATGCCTGTTTTCATCATTTAGATTGTAGGTCCATCTGGTGATGACTGTATCTTTCTGTACACAATGTATTCAATTACTGTTAAACAATAATATTTGATAACAGCCACGTGTTGCCTCAGGGAAACAGGAGGGACGGGAGGGCAAGAAGAGCCCCCTCCTTCCTCCTCTGCGAGGGTTTGGCTTTACTCTGGAGAGCACATGGATAGCCTCTCCGCAGAGCACATGGCTTACCTCTCCAGAGGCACAGATCCTGGTGCTCCAGAAGAAGCCAAATGACTTCAGGGCACTTTGGAAAGAAGAAGCTGCCCTTAAAATGTCAGCACAGAGGCAGTTTTCAGTCCCAGGCACTGGTAGACCCCCGCCCAGTAGCAAGACAAAGGACTGGGAAGATGTGGCTTATTTTCCTTTCTATGTCTACCTACACCACGTTGGCATCACTGTGGCTTGTAAAAGGCTAGGTTTTCTTTTATCACACCCCACCCCCAACCGGCCCGCTGAAGTAGGGGAGGCTACCTGCTTGTGGAAAGTTGGTTGAGGGTGAGTTTTTAAGGGTCTTTATAATGATGCCACCAAGAGGTGGCTTGCAGATGAGATGTGGGTTACTCTCTCCCAGAACTTTATTCAGCCATTGAAAACCTCTCCCGATGTGAGAGAGACCCTCTAAGTTGCTTCTTAAACTGGGATTCATGAACCAGCAGCATGAAATTCCCCTTGGAGATTACCAGGACTGTAGAATCACAGGATTTTCAGCACCTCCAGACCGCAGTTGGCACCTTCAGAAGACCCCCAGGAACTCGTGGGCCCAGTGGCATTGACTTGCTGGGCTGAGGCAGAGACCCACTCCCTGCTGCACAGCTCCAGCAGCTGGGAAACTTTCAGAAGGACTCAGGTCCCCAGTGCCCCTCTTGGGGCTCCTCAAAAATCTAAGAACCCTTTGCTTTTCAGGAGTTCAGAAGGCCTGGGTTTTTTTCTTCCTTAGTCTCTAAGTGATACATATGAATTTGGGACAGCCCTGTCCTGGCTTTATGGTCTGTTAAACAGGGATCGTGATAGGGATCATCAAATGAGACTGTTGCAAAGATTAAAGAGATGGTGTATGTAAATTGTGAAGCCCAGTAGCCCCTCAATAAATAGTATCTATTGTTATTTTGATGTTTTTAGCACGTTTGCTATGCATAATGATTACATTAAGCACAGGCAGTGAGCACATGTACGTAACACATCTTTTTTTTTTTTTTTTT